GGAGGCTGCTGAAAGTAAACAGATATAGTACAAATGTGATAACGTAAGGTGTGAATGGGTGTCTGTGGGCAGAACGAAGCTGCTGTGAAATGGCTGATGGGGCTGTGAGGTATCAATGGGGCGAGTTGCTGTAGGTATGGATAATACTACGCACCCATTTCGGCTCCCTATAGCGTCTTCGGTGGCGTCAACGTCCAGATGTTCCCGTGGAAGTTGGTTGATCTTCTGGCGATGATGGTCTGCGGCGTGTTGGCGAAGGAGAAACATGTGGGGCTTCTCTGACTGGTACGGAGCGTACGGGTCGAGATGGGGATTGTGTATCCGATCGTGGCGTGACATCCGGTCTGCTGCGATATCCTCTATGTTCGCGCGGATGATAGTGACGATCACGAGAATAGTCTCGAGTTCTTCCGCTATCCCGTGCTGGGTCTTCAAGATCCGAGGATTCTTTGGGCTGATGATCTCCTTCCGCAGCTGACTGTGTCTCAGACGATGATTCCGACGAACCAGACGAGCTAGACGACTAGTGTCGTTCTCGGGTACAATTCTCCTCTTCCGTAAGTCTGCAAAGCAGTCGGTGATGTTGACCTCCACATTCCTTGCAAGGTGGGTAGTCGCAATCGCCTTGGGAATGTCTTTCTCGAAGACACTTCAAGCATAGTCGCAGAAGATGCGCAATCTTACGACGCGCACTAACTGGCATGTGCTCATTGCATCTGCGAGAAGAGTGCGAAAGGGAGTCGCAAAAGCAACATGCGGGATCATATAATGATCTGGGGAGGTAGACGTTAATGGCGTCCTGGGGAAATATCTCTATTGGCAAGGCAAGTACGACTGCGGGAGCAAGTCTGCTCAAACCTCTCCTTTGACCGAATAAGATCATCAAGGTGAGACATGACTCGTCGAAGATTGAAATCCGCTCGTTTCTCGAACTCGACGTTGTTAAGTCGCTCCTGGATAGACAGGGGGAACTTAGTCCGCACGAGATCGATAATATAAAGAGCACGTTTGAATCTTCAGAACGCTTAAGGGCATGTAGGATACCTTGAATCCGGAACCAAGTGTTACGCATGTCCGAAGTTGATTCGGTTGCGGGCTGAAGATCTCTGAGCTGCTGATGGAGTAGCGCTCTGGTCCTCCTCGGGCAATCGTATCGCTTCTTCAATGCTTGCACCAACTGATAGTAGTTGTTCCGACCTGGTTCAAGATCCTGCAAAACCACTTGAGCTTCTCCCTTAATCAAGCTCATCAAATAGAGGTATTTCATATTGAGGTCGATGTTGGGATCGTTGTGAACGGCTAGCTCGAACGCACACCAAAACTCCTGGAACTTGGTGACATCTCCATCGAACTGCGGCAACGTTAACTTCTCCAAATGGATCGGTATGTTGTGCGACGATGGGCCAGTCCGTGCGGGCGTGAGCTGAAGATGTTCCAACTGCTGCACAGCGTCCAACTGTGGGTCCACATTCTGTAGACGTGGGGCGTTATCTGTGCGATCATGTCGCTGTGGCGTCGTCACTGTTCCTGTCGTCCCCGTAGTGGCATCCTCACCGATGGAATTAGCGAGTCGATGGATACGAAGAGACTGGACTTGTTCACTATCCGCTTCCTGCATACCTGCAACGTGCGAAGAAGTGCTTCAGCGTCGGCCAGATGTTGATCCACGCTATGCCCTTCTGCGAACCTACTGTACGCCTGCTGATCCGTCGGCGTATTGGAGGTGGTAATGTGGTACAAAAGTACTTCGCGACGTAAAGGGAAAAGGGGTGAAATGAAAGAAAAATCAGGCGGTTTTCTCCGCTCAGAAGCAACATTGAGAGACCGGACCAACGCAGCTGGTCTTCTTCTGGGCCCTAGATATACACGGTATAGAGAATTGGATAACTTACATTTTGGGTGTACGCTGCCTTTAAAGCAATGCATTCGTTTTTCGTTTCTTTCAGGATTTCTGGATGAAATCCAGCAAAGAACATGAAACAATGTTCGTCTACTTGCAAAAAAATAAAGAACAAGTATCTACGCTCTCGGAGCGGCTAACCGTATGCCCTGTCTCAAATCGTTTACACCAACGAGCTGATGTAGGTTAGATGACTGTCCTCTTACCCATTGCAGCATTGATATTTTTGGTTGATACGTGATTTACTGCGTGGATGCTGCTCAAAGTTCAGCACTTGTCAAAGTGACTGACTTGACACCTCAGAGTATACAAATAACTAGAAACGTAAATGACACAAGCTAGATATTGGCTGAACGAGAATAATATGTTCTGTTTATCAAAATAGAACTATAAAGAAGCTATGGAAGCTTGTTTGTTGCAATCTTGCCATAACACGAAGCCGTCCTCCTACTTTTGTATCCTAAGAATTTTGCGCCGTTTCGTTTCGTCTCCAATGAGTTACAAATCAAGCTGTAAAATATAAATTTTCAGTTTCTAGGATCGCATCTAAATTTGCTGGATTAGCATCCAAGTTTTCGAGATCACTGCTCCCACGGCTGCATCTTCTTTTTTCAGTGGTCTGGGCATTATACTGCTTAGCCTGTTCATCGCAGCCACTCAGTCTTTCCCTGATTTGAGCTACAAATCTAATTGTCCTGCTCATGCATATTTTTCACATCGTACGGGAAGGCGCCATAATGGTTTTGTTCGGAGAAAACTGCACGAAAAACAGAATACAAGTTTTTCATTCGCAAGCATTCTTTATGCCTCAAAAATAGCATTTTCTCTTCCTCAAAAAATGATGTCGCAAGGGTCAAAACCAGACTATCATCGCGTTCTTATCTTTAAGACCGTATCGGATATCTTTAAGACATGTACCAAAATGAAGAGCCAAGCCAAACACTTACGAGTTGGGGAGGATTTCGTATCTGTTACTAGAAAATTAACTATTGCAGAATAATCAATTATACTAATTGAAGTAAATTGCTCTGTAATCCTAAATTTTGCCAAATTGTTACATTTCAGTCCTTGTTTATAATCAGCGTCCAAGCCGGTTACACTTCGAATGTGGGGCCAGACCAAAATTTGTTGAGACCATGCATTCTTTCGCGATCATAATGCAGCACAATCAAAGCTTCATAGTTTTCTGCTGACCCAATCTAGCAGATTTATTTTGGGAGGTTTTTGAGCCATTGACCCGTAGTAAACTCCTGTTCAGCGCACGTCAGCTAGGGGCGGGCCTACGTGGAACATAGTGCGCTTTACTCCGGCATTCGCTGAGCTATTGTATAGGCTGCGGATCGCTTTCCAGGTCCAAAGATCTTGGGCGTTCACAAAATGAGAATGCTTGAGTAGGATTGGTCGAGCGGCTAAGCTTAGGATTCAACGCGTGATGCTATGGTTCGAGGGCGCCCAGCGGCGAACTTTTGCGCCATCACCGAGCAATCCATGATAGCGGCCAGTATCTGAAAAACTCGATGATGTCCGCTATCAAAGATATCACCTGCCAAACGGGCAGATAAAACAAAACTACATAGATTAAATGCTCTCATTTCTTCAAAACTGGGCATCTTGTAAAGTGTTAGTAATCTGCCGTGTTATGCCAAACCAAGTTTGTTGGTGGATCTCTTTATTAGATTTGACGGTTTCGACTGTCTCGTCTTTTTCAGGGGTCTTGAGTCCACCGCCTTCCAGTAAGTCCTTAGTAACGGACGTCACTGAGTAGCTGTGCGGACTTACTGAAATGCGTCACTCACTGAGTGACGTCCGTTACTAAGTAGCTGTGCGGACTTACTGGAATGCGGTGGACTCAAGACCTCTGAAGAAGACGAGACAGTCGAAACCGTCAGGTCTAATAAAGAGATCCACCAACAAACCTGGTTTGGCATAACACGGCAGATTACTAACACAAAAGCTGTGCAGAAAAAACCTACTTTCTTGCTTTCCTCGCCGCAATCAGCTATTCATTGATTTCTTCCAGGGCTCCGAAATTGTGCAGTTTTGAGGATTTTGCACCGCAATGATACGTCCACTAATTGTCTCGTAAGTTACTCACGAGCAACGTACTGGAAATTTGTCTGATTCTTCTCTTTTGCGTCTCTCTCGGGTCACCCTAAAATTCAACCTCAGATAAGTGGCATTCTTGTGAACTGACTGTGAAACTTGACCGGACAGTCTTCTGACTGTTCAACTGACTATCTTTAAAGGCAGTGTCCGGGCAAAAAGTCGATTTTGAGATTTTGTGCTTACCCGACCTATTCCCTATGCTGAATCCGAATATCCACGGTGGAAAGCGCGAAAACGGCGAAAAAGGGCTCTAACGCAGGAGGGAAATCAGCAGGTGGGCGGGGTTTTCCCCACTGTGAATTCGCGCTTCTAACTTCCGGAGCGATCTTCTCGCTTCCGATTTTAAGTCAATTATTCGCACTTGGCCGGTAGCGATGTTAGGACGGCTGGCGGAATTGAAAAGAACGCCCCGGAAGCTGGCAGCGTGAATTCACAGTGGGCGAGGTCTTTCCCAAGGTTGAATTCACGGTCCCAGTTTTCGGAGCGATCTTTTCAATTCCACCAACCGCCCTGACATCTCAGCGGACCAAGTGCGAATGCATGATCTGAAGTCGGAAGCGAAAAGATCGCTCCGGGAGCTGGGACCGTGAATTCACCCTGGGGAAGACCCCGCCCACTTTTGATTTCCTTCCTGCGTTAGAGCCCTTTTTCGCCGTTTTCGCGCTTTCCAGTGTGGATTTTTGCATTCAGCGTGGTTAAGGCCCGGGTAAGCACAAAATTTCAAAATTGAGTTTTTGCCCGGACACTGTCTTTGAGCACGGGAAGATGGGCGGGATTAGGTTCATCCTAGGAAGTTGTCCTGAATGATTGATCTCAGGTCACCTTTGATGAACAGAGGTTTACTACGGGCCACTGCCAAGGTTCATCGACAATCAAGCCCGGAACATTACAAGTGCATACCGCTGGTGAAAACTTCTCGAATTTCAAGGTGGTCTGAAAATGATTTGGAAAATACTACTACGTTCTTACAGATAGAATTCCTAAATAGGACTCTATGCCAACAAGAGTATGCATCTTTGCTGTTCCCTGTGCTGCTGTGGTGGTCTTAGTCATCATGTCAAATAGATTCATTACTGAAACAGCTTCTAATTCGACGCGAGTAGAAGTACTGTATGACCCAGGTATAGAATTTGAGTACGCACTAAGACGCTAGTCCATCTTCTGTAAAAAATAGTCTTCGGTTCGCAAAAGGGTTATCTCTTGTCTTTTGATTATACCTCGAAAAACAATGCGTTGCGTCCAGTAAGGTTAACAGTTAGAAGTAAAAGAACAAGGAAGTGACTGAATCATTAAGCGCCTGTGCAGTTTGGCTGCATATCTATTTTTTCTCTTAAATATGTTGTAATCTAAAAGGAACAGTTCTGCAAACAAAGAAGCTCAATAGAATGACCTTCAGTCATATTCATTTCCAGTAGTCCATGCAAACTCGAAGCATTCGGCGACCAATAGCGTTGGAAATATCAGCTTTGCTATAAGTGCAATCAATACTTTTACGGTTCATGGCACAGTAGAGCTGACTCTTTTCAGCGGATGTTCGAATCAATCTTACCGAGAATGTCAAAAGTGGAAAGCAGGACACCGCTCCTTTCAACAAAAGCAGTCTCATCCCGCCTTTTCTACACTTCAGGGCGATAATGGAGGTATGACCTTTTGCATGCCAAGGTACTTGCATTAGAAAGTCATTTCATAAATCAGTGGCGGTCCCAGGAATTCTGTCCGAGGAGGCGCGTTGGGGGGGGGGGGGGGGGGGGAAACAACAATTTTTGGACGAAGGTGCGTGGCGTTAGTCATGTAATCCAAAATTTTTTGCGATGCTTCTCATGATTTTTGCTGCTCATGATCTCCAAGATTTAGAAAAAGTGGGAGTGGGGCAGCCATGCCCCGAAATAATATTCACAAATCAATATAAGTTTATTTTATAAACAAATCACTTGCGCATTTTTATAACCCATGTAAGTGATTTAAAGGCAGTGTCCGGGCAGAAACTCGACTTCTAAAAAATCAACTTATCTGGGGTTATCCGCAACGCTGAATCCGAAAATCCACATCAGAAGGCGCGAAAACGGCGAGAACATGCATTTTCCAAGTCCTCACATTTCGAAATTTGGGGATCCCCGCCAGGCTAAGACGCAGAGCTTGCAAAGAGCGCACGGTTTTTAACTGTGGCGGCATACGTACTCTGCCGTCTGGCAGGAATTCAAACAACTCGGAGGACCCCGCCCCAAGGCGTAAGTTTCCCCAATTTGCAATCGTTTTTCTTGCTTTAGGTCGAACGTTTTATGCTCGCAGTTGCGCGATGTTGTGTCTCAGGGGGGCTACTTTCACATGGCAGAGAAATCTCAGAACCCCCATTTTGCCCGGACACTGCCTTTAAACTTAGACTAACGCGACCTGTTCACAGAAGGGGAAAAGCACAGACAGACAAACAAAAGTTTACTGTCCCAAATAAATAACATCAACATGCTCAAGTGCCCATCACTTCTCTCAGACAATCGATCGGAACCCTCCGCCGGACAGTCGAAATCTGCCAGAGTCACGCCGGACCCAGTTGACCAATGAGAGCGGGGCGATTGGGCGGTCCCTTCTTGTAGGTCGCGGTGACATCACTGGCAGGCGAGTGGGACCTTCTCCGGCCCTGCTGCAAAGGTACGCCATTTCTGCTCCGGAGGTACGCCAGATTTGGCAGAGCCGCGCCGGAGAAATTTGCCCGCCGCGAGTCCGCCAGATTTGGAAGAGCCGCGGAGCAGAAAATCGGGGGGCTCCAGCGCACGAGTGGCAGACCCACCGCTGGGGAAACCCCGCGGCCCTGCCATTTCTCCGCCGGAGGGGTCCGATGCGCTGTCTGAGCTGCTCCTACGTCACGTCAGCACCTAGCTCAGGTTTGCTAGAGAAGTTGATATTAAGCGAAATATGCGTAGTGGTTGTGTCAGAAAAAACTCTATTTAAGGCATTTAGGAACACACAAACAGATATCACTACATCGTATGTGTAGGAAAGCTTAAAAGATTAGGAGAAAGCGTTTTGAGCTTGCCTACTATATTGCGCTATCTTACGCAGAATAACGTTTTCTACACCATCCCTCACTTTTTTCGCGTCAACGCTACCTACAGCTTTCAGAAAAGTTTGTGTAAGGATTCAAGGTATCTTGAAAAAGATCCTGGCCTGACTTGACAGACTGCTATTACGGAACTGTCATCCGCATTCCGTTGCACAAGAAACGGCGGCTCAATTTTGCCTATATCATAGTTATTTTTCTTTTCTCTCTTAATGTCGATTTTAGGTAGCCTCAAAATATCACCTATCTAGTTGTATAATCGAAAAGGTAATGAGTACAACTGTCGATGCCATTTTTTGCTACCTCGCCAATTCGACCAAATTCACAAAAAATCATCGTACCATTAGCACCGAGAAGTTTAAAGCGAGGTGAGTGGCAAATACAGAGTAGTGCATAGATGAAGAAAATTTATCTATGGCATTGCGCAGTAATCAAAAATCTACGCATACTGTGAGAGTAGCTTGTGTTTCCATTGTCCTGGAAAAAGGTTACAATTTGCAAACAACACAAACTATACAATGTCACTAGCGGATACAGCATGCGTAGGATAGTTGTAATATGCATAATGTCTCTATGAATGTGAGAGCAATATCTAATGCATTTTACCTAAGCGGCATTTGCGAACTGACCAAAAGTAGCTGCAAATTAATTCAGAACACAACCAAAGGGAAAAATAAGAACATTATGACTTTGACTGGTGAACGGATACCTAAAAAAAGTCGTCTTAAGATTCTGTCGTAATCGAAATAGACGCTATGGGTACGAAAATATGGAATGTGAACTTGGATTTCCACGAATACAATTCATCACCATTCGACATCCCTTGCAAAGATTTCTCAGTGGATTCGCGGAAAAATGCGAACGGTAATAACTTCGCTCATTATTCTGCCCAAGTTAGAACGTATTTGTAACCCGTTTGTAATGTTTTATTCTTGTAATCAAGGCACAGGGCTTGGCACAGGTGGCTTATACGAAAGCTCTATATCGTTTGGGACAAAAGCAAAGGGATGACGCTTTTGTGGTAGAAAAAATACAGCTTTTTAGTCGACGTTTTGTTTTTTAAAGCTTTGTACATCTATTGTTTAGGAGACTTCGTAAAATTTTGGAAAAATCAAGGATGATTTTGTTTTTGGCATTTTTAAAAAGACACCTCGTGTCGAGCCCTTTCAAGGCATCCCAGTTCGCCTTGATTCAAGCCGCAAATGGGAGTTTGTTGTGATGCAGTGATCGGCCGCAAGGAAATTTGAGCTGCAGTTTCCTCATATTAAAGCAACGTTTGAGCGAAATAAATGTCTACTCAGCAAGATAATCAATTTTTTTTCAAATCCTAGGGTGGTAGTGAGGCAAAACGAACGGTAAATGATTAAAGGTAGTGTCTCACCAAAATTGAGGTTGCACGGGTTTCCACATAATCTACTAAAAGGCCCCTCAAATAGGCCATTGCAACAAGTCTGACTCGATTTGGCCCCCTCTGCGCTGAGAAAAATGAGCTCAAATTGGTACGCGGAGAGCGATTTGGTACGCGCGGACGATTTTCCCTGTCTCCCCCCTTATGCGTTTTAACATGTCCCTCCACTTTGCGTCCGCCTCCATAATATTGCTGCCACTTTGGCGGAGGCTAGAGTCAGAAGGCACAACTCGTCTACGTCGATTCTGCGAGACCTCCAAAAAACGGGGTTTTTGAGAGATTTGTGAGGTTCTAACCCCATACAGTATTAGATAGGGTCCGATAGGCTTATAAAATGCGAAAATCTCAGCAGCGAATTTTTGGTGAGGCACTGCCTTTAAGTGAACCTGGCTTTCGACATCAGACGCACTCGAAGCTTGGATCTATTCGATGCGCGCAAGAATTGTTGAACGGGGTACCTCCAAATTCTGTCTGCTAATACTAGAACTTCTCCTTTCTTCCGAAAGCGCGCTAAAGGCAGCGTCCCTCCAGATTCGCTTTGACCTTCTTGCGGTTCTGGGGCTTCTCATCGGGTTGAACTTAAGTAAGGACTATAAACTGCGCGAGAAGGACCAAATTAGGACGTTCGCAGAAGTAAGGACTATAAACTGCGCGAGAAGGACCAAATTAGGACGTTCGCAGCTTTTTGGAAAAAAATCTTGGACAGGAGTTTACATGGGAAAGCACGAGGTGTCACAACAACCTCACATCTATGTTTCTTCACAGACTATTACCATTAGTGCGGTAATGATGACGGACTCGCAAAAGATGGCGAGTGATGTTCTTCGGGCGCGTGCTAAATTGGGGCTCGCGCGTTTTGTATGTAGTTCCCTGAGCGAGCAGGACACGGTAAATGATGGGGATTGGTCAAGAAGCAAGCAGAATCTTTGCATGATTCAACTGAATGTGGAAAAACCGGATCCTGTTGGGGGGAGGGGGCACTTCTTCGAGGGAAAATGGATGGCAATCAAATCACATGAAGATGACCGAACATTTACAGAAATCGTTAGGCATGACAAATATTTACAAAAAAACGCACTTTTTTCTCATCTCTGTAAGATCTACAGCCCTTTCAACGTGATAAAATGATGGGTTTGAGCTGGATGGACAGCCCCAGATCGATTAGAGAGAAGATGGTGGGGCTACGACTGCATGACCCGAAAAACATTATTTGTGTAGATGTCCGGAAAATGGCTTTGATACTGCAGTTCTTCTTTTCGCTGTACACTGTTCCAGTTCTGCTGAAAAACTCAGACAATTTGCTTCTGCCCAAGGAGGCACTAAATTCCATTGAAGCTTCCGTTAAATTTTTTGGAATCCGGGAAATCTGCAGTTTCCGACAGTTTAGCTTTCACACGGTCATTACGACGTTCTTCAGGCTAAACCAACTCTTTTCAACGAAGGAGGTAAGAGTGACCGCGATAGATAAAGAATATAGAATGACGAGTCACCTAAGGGCTATTGCAGGACGAAGAAGCAGCATTTGGCTCCGGGCATAACTCACGCGATCTCAGCCGCGAGCGATTCAGCGCTACCCTGACTGTTTAAGCTCAGCCTAAGCGCATTCTGGTTGAACAGAAGATGGGGCATTTTGTCAGCTTGTAAAAATTGCACACAATATGAATTTGTAGCCTGCAGATGTTGGCACTGAAGGAAACGGCAGATTGCCAAATCGTGCGGCGACTGAAATTGGGTGAGGTATGTCCGGGGCCTTAGCTGAGCGGGCGCCAACTCAGCGCGTGTATTTTCGCCGTTGTAAACCCCTCACCTCCTCGCTGTGCCGCTAATTAAGACGCGTTCGCGCCCAATGGTATAGCGCCTTCGTCATGCAGTAGCATGTATATAACGTGAATTAAGCAAAATTGTCTAACAGATCTATCAAAAATGGATTTTTTGAGCAATGTGGACTATCTTGTAATATTTGATCTTCACTATTCCACTGTAGACTTCGAAGGTATCTATTTGCTGCGGTGTATACAACCTCGTCAGGTCACCCTTTGAACTATGAGTAGTAAAATGCACAATGATCATAACGTTTACGCGGAGCTACCAAGAGCTCAAAGTCTGCTAGGCCCATTTTTGCTATATATGCACATTTTCTAATCAGTGTTCACTGCCTCAAAATTCCGTGGTCCTTGAGCTCTAAAAAGCTCTTCGTCAACAAGATCGTTGAATTCCTTCAAAAGAAAAAAGTTAATTTAATTTTCTCCACCACACTTCATTTCCAGTGAGGATACCATCAGAAGGATCTGTCTTAAGTGCGACAATTTATTTTGCTTCACGGAAAAGTTATATGACCATCTAAATGAATATTATATGAACACAAAATCTCCGCAACGATCCGTATATGATGAGTATGAATATACTGTTGCACATTTTGCTCCACAAAATTGGTGCGCTCTCGTATAACCATCAGACTTGATTTTCAGAAAAACATAGAACTCAAAAGCTACTAATTCAGGTACTGCAACTTTTACAATCACTTTGACGACTATGTTATACTTCGTCAAGGAGAAAACCGAGAAGGTGTCATGGAATATGCGCAGAAACTCGAGGCAGTTCTTAGCAAAGCTGGTGTAGAAGACTGTCATAAGAAAGAGATACACAGGCAGTTGCTAAGTAAGCAGATTTTCATTATTTTCTCAATAAACTATAGTTATACCAAATGATAACCCCAGACATTTCATGTTCATAAACATCTTGCGCATTACTTCGTCTACCACTTAATGTCACATACTTTATCAATAGCAAACACAAGTTACGACTACTATAGTGACCTTTCATTGGGTCGGACAATTTCTGTCATGCTTTTTCGCACATTCTGAAAGCTTCCTGAAATCTTCAACTTCATGCCATACGTAAATAGGGGGGGGGGGGGGGTTCAAAAGGGTCTAGCCGTAAAATGGTTGATGCCGCATAATGAGCAAAATCACGACATCATACTCAAATTTTGATCTTACCCTGTTTCTGCGTTTACACGTGCTTCTTCTCCTACAAATACTTGCAATCGTCCCCCCCCCCCCACATCCCACGACAAGTAGCGTTTTGGTTTGAGGCACCACTAAGACTAGGTAGGACCAAAGTCAATCCCACCTCTGAGCAAACCAAGCCCTCTTCGAGGAGGGAAACGGCCAAGAGGAGCGATTTCTTTGTAGGTCATCTACAGGGTGTCCCAAAAGTCTTGTAGCCTAATTTTGCAATGCTTTAACTCAACAATCACTGGTGATTTTGGTCTCAAATATATAACACAGAATCCTCCAATCATTCTTCGTAAACTGCATCCTTAGGGGTAAGAAATTATCTTCATGTTTAACAAAAAAAAATAAAATTATCAAACCATTTTCACCTCAAAACGCAAAAAGCTATTTCCTAAAAGTTTGGAATTTATTCCGCTACTGCAAAAATTTGGCACACCCGGTGCAAATTTATATCCACAATATAGAGGGGGCTTTGCACTATTATCACTATAATGGCTGCATTTAGAAACCTATTTCGTCAAGAGAGGCGAGAAAATACCTGGAAATTTTCAATGCGTGCCACTGCAACTATGTCTTTGAAATTAGTTTCAAATCTGTAGAATTGCAGCAGCCACTGAATTTAGAGTAATATCCTCTTCGCATGTTTTCTAGATGGGAATCTAATGCAACACGGATGACGAACTTGGTTTTGAAACACATTGTAGCCGAGTTTGAGTTTTCATTTTCCGCAAATGTGCCCAAAACTCCACCATAAGATCTACATGTGCCTGCATTCAAATTTCCGTAATTTTAACCATACAACTCACAAATTTTTCTAATCATTGGTATGATGTAGCTGAAAGCTTGCTCTATCATACAGAACATTTTCTAAGCAATAGGATTTATTTTCATGAAAAATTGGGACATGATGATGACTGCCTGCGTGCCTCGGCAGTGGTAGCCAACAGTTTGAAGGCTTCCGTTATCAAGGAAAGATGCTACCACGAAATTCGAATGCTGTGATGTATTTGCTACTTTTTGAATAATATGTACACCAAATTTTATATCCCTATGTTGTTCCATTCTGTTTTTCTCAGAAAGAATACTAGGCTACAAGACTTTTGGGACACCCTGTAAAGCCCTCAGTATTACTTCTGAAAATAACGAATGAAGTGCTTTAGCTTACTATTGGGTTTGGCGGATAATTTCTGTTACACTTTTTTCTTAAAATTCCGAAAAGTTTCAGAAGTTCTCTAGAATCTTCAAAGTTGCTCCATATGTAGGCCACTGCAGGGGGTCCACAACAGTACGGCTGATGCCGCAAATGCACAATTAGCCAGCGACTTTACGACAACTTTATAGGAACACTCAAAACTGTCATTTTTTCTTTGATTTTTTTCTCTGCGTCTCATTATGTTTTTTCTCTCCCATAATTTTTTAGAACATATTTTCGCATCCTCTCTTTTATGGTAGCACTTTGGTGCCACTAGCACGCCAAAAACAAGGGGTGAAAAACAACTCAAAAAATTGAAAATTCGTCGAAAATTTTTCTTTTGTGAGCATCGTGTAGGATTTGACACGTAAAAGTTGAAAATAATTTTTGTAGTTTTTAAAGATTGTTCTTCATGTCATGCCAATGTGCGCTGACATGGCGCAACATGTAGCTCATGTGATCGTGTGCAAACATGATTGCGCCATCCCCCTTCGTTCGCTAAAAACTATGGACCATACCCTGCCCTAATACCACATCGCCCGGTCACTTCCCAATCACCTGGAAGAATGCCAACCTGCTGACAAAAATGTCCTTAAAATGTACTCCCACCAATAAAGTGGTGTTTTGCGCATGGACCGCGGATCTAACAGTACCGGCGGGTAGACCCTTGCACCTCGCCAACAATCTTCAAACATAAGAATTTTCGAAAGTTTCTTAGAATTTTAAAAAATAAAAATAAAAGTGTAACAGAAATTACCCGCCAATCTAATATTATAGTTGAGTGCCACTAACTAAGTTTGACGGATTTTGATGGAGAACTGAGTGAAAGCTCAAGATTATTTTGTTTGCATTTACAAGGATTACTCCCCTTCAGAACTTTCGTTTTGAATTTACTCAGTAATATTAAAAATGAACAATCCATGAGGCTGGTTAATATAACTTTTTATAACTTTCAAATATCTAGAGCGTTGTAAAGCACAAATTATATGCTATTTGATCTGTGAAGTCGAAATTGTTCAAAACTCGCAAAAAACCCGGTTCTTGGGGACCCTCTCTTCAAGGAGCGGACGAGTTTCGAATTGCTCGTCTCCATCGTCATGCCAGCGGGAAGAGCTGCAACTGAACGGATGCAGTTGCATTGCAGTGTGCAGTGCAACTGCAATGCAACTGCAATGCAACCGCACACCTGCGTAAGCACTCAGGGGTGGTTTGTAATACGAAGGGCGGCTTGTGATACGTATCACAAGCCCGTCTCCTTTTAAAGGGCACGGCAAAGGATTGGACAACGCAGATCGGAGACCCATGGGCCCCTCTTTACAACTATGTGCTAATCTGGGTGGATGGATCTTGCCTGGACGCTGCCTTCAAGCGATGTGCGAAAACAATGTCTAAAAAAATTATTAAAAAAAATTCTTCATTTTAAGTTCATAATGCAGAAGCAATGCAGAATGTTAGGAAACACCCTTCTGATTTTCAAAAAAAAGTTCATCAAGGGAAGGGTCAAAAGGCCTAATCGTCGGTACCGTCGCACCCGCGATCCGAGCGCAGACCACCTACTTTGTCTCTGAAAATCCATTTTCCCATTTTTGTAAATGAGCTGGCATTCTTTCAGGTAATGAGCGAGAGATCAGACAATTCGGTAATCAGGTAGTGCATAGTCTGTAGCGATTAATAAATATGGGGGGATACACACATGCCTACACACTTTTTCTGAGCGGCGGTCAAATGTCAGTGTGCGCATCTTTGTAACCATCGACATTATAACGAAGAAAGAGTCTTCAAAAAATTTCAAAAAATCATTTTTAAGTTTTCTGTATTAATTTCTGCACGATCCACATAAAAAAGAATTTAGGAGAGTTTTTGAATTTTTTGTTATTTTTTCACCCCTCGATTTGAAACGCTAGAGGCACAGGAATGCCTCCATTTAAGAGACATTGCCGAAATACGTTCAAAAAGAAATTCGGGAAGAGAAAAGTGCAAGTACGTCCAAAAAAATCAAACAAAAATCGAAAATTCAAGTGCTTTTACAGAACTGCCGTAAACTTGTTGGTCATTAGTGCACTTGCGGCATCAATCACGCTAGTTGGGTAGACCCTGATATGTCCTAAACGTTGGCAAACCTAGAGTTTTCAGCAAGCTTCTGGAATTTCCTAAAAGAATAGAAAAAAGGTGTAATAGAAATCACTCGAACCCAATATATTGGAGGAATATGCCAATCCATCAATAAATTGAGCCAAAAAACCTTCTAGCTGGAGGTAAACTTCGCACGCGGAACGCGGATATGGCGATGCCCATGGGTAGATCTTCACACCCCGACGACATATCTTAAATATAAAAATGTTTCGAAGTGTAAGTATGACAGAAATTACATGAATTGGAAGATCTCATGAAACTGAACTGATTTACTGTAGAACAGAAAACACATCAAATATCTATGTGTCGGTTACAACATACGTCCAATTTTTACTATAATCAACAAGTAATCGTATTTAGTTGGCAGCTCTCCCCACAAGACCAAAGGATCGCAAAGGAGGGCGGATCTTGAGCAGACGTTGCTGAACAACAAAACGCTTCTCACTCTTTTCACTAAGATATATTACTATGACTTCATTCTTTTCAACTACTCACTGCCTGTCATTATTTGAATAATTGATTAACACGATCTCGGCCCGTACGGTGAAAATAAACATATTCGTTTTTTATTTTTATTTTCAATACATTAATTTCCTCAAATATTTTTTGAGTTTATTAAAGACTTCTCAAAGGAGTCTGCTGCCATTGCGAGAAGGGTTCAAAAACGCCAGTTCAGCGTAACCGCATACAAACACCACTGGTCTTAGCTTAACAGTCAGTTCTAGTACACCTGTCTAACATCGGGAAACATACTTTCGATACATAGAGCCATGTACTCTGGTAACCTTCACTTTGAGCGTCATGATAGAACACAACCTTCACCTGGAAGGAAGTACAGAAGTCATTTGGGGCGAAGCCCCAGATATCATGATATCCGGGGCTAACATAACTAATGACATGAGTATGTGGGGTGAATGTGAATGAGGCAAATATAGTAGTGACATCCAAAAGAAGCTCAAAAAACCGAAGGATTGCGTTTTATGGCCTTTTTTGCTGAAAAGAAGGTCTTATTCACAATCAATTAGAAACTAGGACAAAATTTCTCAATTGACCTTTCTCTAAACTGCGATTGAGGTTGGATGTTCATGAAACCGCTGGAGTTAAATAAAAACTGCGCTCAAATCTTGCGCAGAGTGTCTCCACACAAATGCTGGTCTATATCGTTGTGGAGTGATTTTCAAGACCCGCGACGTTGTCAGTGTTCCTTGCCGTCTCATGAGGATCACAACGATATATAATGCTATGGGGTTTCGTTATGACCCCGCGGAGATCAATGACCAGAGCCAAATGCCCCGCCGGCTCTGGTCTGTCTCCGCTGCTCGTCTGCATCTCCGCTGCGCACTACCTACCTCAAATGCGAGGCGCAAGGCGTTTGGCTCTGGTACCCTTTTCTTCGTTGTTCCGAGCCCAATTTCGACATTTTATATATCATACTAGTAAACCAGTAATTGAAGGGTGCTAGTAGCATGCGCGCGCTTCGGGACCGCCACGCGGTTTCCCGCTATTTGCCAATTTGCAAATTGCGCTTACGTTTCTTTATATATTAGATCATATTAAGGCTCTTGATCTCTATTTTTACGTTGACAACGTCGCAAGACTTTTTATGATCCAAACGAGAAACCTGGAAAAAGGGCCTTTCGAAAAGCTCTTGTTTTTTTCTTCAATTTAACTCTTTTCACTCGCTTTTTGTGTATTCGATAGGTCTTGTTTCTGTCTAAGAAGTAAACAACGTCGCCGAGCTTACTTCTCTGCTTATGCCGGTTTTTTTGTGAAAATTACTGAAAAGTGCGTTTTTTTTACCTTGTTCTCTTTCAGTGCTTTCGCAACGAATTATCTCCAGCTTCGACGATACTTGCTCAGAATGATAAGCGGAAGAATCTAGACAACGTCGCAGGATACGAAACGAATATGCGGGGGGTGAAAATTCAACGGACGCATCAGAAATCAAATTGGCGTCAATGTGCAACATATCTTTTCTGACGTGTTTAACATGTTCAATTCAGTTGTTGACCAGTTTTCCTTCTTTCGGTCTCCCAACTACCACCATTAGTAAACAGCGCTTTTTTTTAAATAGAGAAGAACTTGTTCTTGTTGCCACCCAATTTAACCGGCAATCCTGAAGAGAAAACTGTGCCTGAGAAACCTCCAAATTAAGGTTTCAAATTCGATGATGTGCTAACCTCTGCTTTATATGAATTTTTCAAGTTTCCTGGTATAATTCGTATCTCTAAATTTCCATCTATTTTTCTGAAACAACCTTCACTTTTTATAGGGGGCAGGAACTCAAACAACTATCACTTTTTAAAATCTGCCTTTTGACTATCGAAGGTATAGTCAGCTAGCAGCGCCTAAAACTCACGCGTCATACAAGGAGCCCACGCAGTGGACGACTGGCACGGCGCACCGAGGTAACCGGAGGTACGTCCTCGTCTATCACACATGGTGGTGCAGTTTTAGGGAGTTTTCTTTCTACCGGCCCCTACTAAGGTCGTTTGCGGTGTGTTCTCAGCCTATCTATAAGTTGTTCTGTGTTGGTTAGAATTAGGATATGGTGGGCATCATGCGTAGCCTTAGTGATCAAAGTAGTAAGCCATAGGTCGGTCTTTACTGCAGTCAAATTCCGTAACATGTAGATCATCATAATCAATGTCTTCAAGATTAAAGCAATTAGTAGACAGTGCGATTTTGAGTCGTGCCTAGAATGTGAAAAGCAACAGGTGGAGGTGATGCGAGTACCTCAAGTTATGTAGGCACTACTAGGTAAGCTGGTATTATAAGGCCACTTATTCTCATCGAGTACATGTGTTGTGCCATCTTTTGCCGTTTTTCTGTTCCACCTGCTGCTCCCTTTTCAGGACCTGCAGCGCTTAGTGCCCATGTGTGTTGTGCAATACCCCTCGGTTAACAAGAACATGCTGCTGAAGGTCGAACATGGGTTTATCGATATATCGTAAATCGCGTCCAAAACAACAACAATAAACTCCTTGAAGAGTACGACACATAACCCGTATCATCGCACACGGTAGAAACCCAACATTTCACAATCTGAAAGCACATCTTGGTCTCCGTTTGCGAACATTTCGCAATCTTCAGCAGTCGAAATCTAGAAGAAAAGGCAATGATTACTTCTTATGAGTGCTGGAACAACACTTACTTTCTCTAGCCACTCCTCTGTTTTGAAAGTAAGCTTCAAATGAGTCAACACTGTGCTGATTTCTGGATTATGCACAATCAAACAACCTTTCTTCGCATTTCTATGAACAAATTCGAAGCAATCGGCCTGAAATTGAAGATGTTCTGCCCCCATTACATCAGTACAATTCTTACCTGTTCATCCGAAGATAAAAAAAACGAAAACACATTATTCATGATGATAAGATCTGCTTGTGATATTACATCTGGCCTCGTGCGAATGTCAGCGTGGACAATCTCAATATTCTAAAAGAGCACTGTTAATGGCATTTCGGACATAACTGAAGGAGATACTTGGAGATTGAAATCCTTTATGACATCCTCCTGTAGTCTGGCAAGTTCGTCATTCATTTCTACTCCGGTAGCCGTGACATGGCCACTTCTGTAATAAGAAATAGCAAACGCTCTTTCATATAGCTACGTGTGATAACCTTCCCCCGGTTTAGTGGCCCAGAGACAAGACATCGAAGGTGTTGTCTTTCCTCTCCTCCCCTTCCCCTCCCCCCTTCTCTCCTCCCCCCCCCCCCCCCCCCCCCGTATAGCACACCTAAGTTCTGCCCTTTGGAATACTTGAAAAATGAAGCATCCCACAGAGAACCTGCTTGTAAATAGGCATTGCCCGAAGATTTTCACTTCCAGAAATTTGTCGTTCTCCAAAATTCTCAGGTCAGTTTGTGTAAACGAGTGGTCGAATTCTTGTAGATCCGCTCTGCATTCTCTCGGCACCAAGTATATTCCTTCGCCCACTCTTGGGTATGGGCCTCTCATCGACTGAAGTCGAAGAATACTGCATGTGACTCATATTCTTCCTACTGCATTTTTATCACTATTCCGACAGTATGGATGACGATTGTACTCTATACTTTGACAAACACGCACTGATTGGGCGCAACACGTTTCTTCGAGCCGATGTCTTCAATATTCTTTCGCAGATCTTCACTGTGCGGCTTATTAGTCGAATACTTTGAATGGTGCAACCAGTTAAGTGACCTCGATTCTTCCATATTATCGTCGTGCTTCTGAACCGATCGTTTAGCATCTTGTATTCATTATCTGGTTTGGAAGTTGGGCCAGCCACAAAACTCCAACCGCGCATTCGTTCCAAACCTCGTTGGAGATGTCGTCTGGGCCTGTCGTCGTGCCCTTCGTGATCTTCATTATGATGGCATGGCATCGCCTTCAATTTTAATCGGCGTCCATGCACAGGTCTGCTACAGTGGATGGCATGCATACAGAAATTTCCAGATTCCATGCTTCAAAAATACTTACGAGGGAAGCTAGCTAACTTAGCTCGCGCTTTTGAAATAAGACACATATATTTGGAATCAGCTTCGAACGCTGATGCCAAATATGCTGTTCCCAGGTGCCGCGCATCATTCGCAACGGAGTTAGGAGGACCTCCTCCCCTAGACTCGCTCCACCGGCAAGTCTAGAGGAAACACAACAATGATTGCCAGAGGTCGAGTGGTGAAGTGGTAAGTGTCTTGCTCCATAATCTGATGGTGCGGGGTTCGAGTCCTGTTGCGTGTTCTGTCTTTTGCAAAGATAGTCCACAAAAGTTTTCATCAGAATACACTTTTGTTAACAGTGTATTCAGATTCCGGCGTACTAGTTTCGCCATAAGAACTTTACATTTTGGATTTCCCAAATGTTGCCCCGTTTTCGATTGCAAATTCTTGAGCGGATTGAACACTCTAAACATATATATACATTTATTTATAAGCAGTGACGATATATGATAACAAAGTGTTCAAAACACAAGTGCTTTTCACAGTGAGCACAACGAATAAATTTGAAATTGGGGCAGCCATCATCCTCGCAGTTAACTACTTCACTTGATGAGAAGCAGAATTGTACGGGAGTCTCAAAAGGGCCAGGATGATTCTCTAGGTACCCAGCGGCATGCCAAGGATAACAAAGGAATTTTCGAAAGCGTGGAGAACAAAATTGGGAGTAAATAAGGGAGAGCATTTTCAGAATTGAATCCCTTTGGTGCACGCAGAATTCAATATCGTGAGCATGAACGTATGAGATGAATCGTTTGTACATTTCCTTAAAAGGCCTAAAAAAGTATACGTCCAGAGGCTGGATTTGCGAAGTGGTACCGGGAGGGATATTCAATATTTTTACTTGTCTCCCACTAGGCACAGCTGCCATGATTGCGCTGTGGTCCCTAAAAGCGGTCCAGGAATCGCCTAGTACGCCGGAATCTGAATACACTGTTAACAAAAGTGTATTCTGATGAAAACATTTGTGGACTATCTTTGCAAAAGACAAAACACGCAACAGGACTCGAACCCCGGACCATCAGATTATGGAGCGAGACACTTACCACTTCACCACTCGACCTCTGGCAGTCATTGTTGTGTTTCCTCTAGACTTGCCGGTGGAGCGAGTCTGGGGAGGAGGTCCTCCTAACTCCGTTGCGAATGATGCGCGGCACCTGGGAACAGCATATTTGGCATCAGCGTTCGAAGCTGATTCCAAATATATGTGTCTTATTTCAAAAGCGCGAGTTAAGTTAGCTAGCTTCCCTCGTTAGTTGGAACTTACATGATCATCAAGTAGTTCCCAGTTCAATTTTCTTAGCCTCTTCGCAGGTTGCTTGAGGTGCGTATGCTTTATTCTTCTGACAATAAGATCCAAAGTGCCTTCTTCCCAGTATCTATTCTGATGCTCAAGAGGGGGTTGTTTATTCATCTTATATATAAAGCTGAATGTCTGTATGTCTGTATGTCTGTCTGTCTGTATGTCTGTACGTATGTGCGGAATAGAAATTTTTATTTCTGAACCGATTGGGACCAAACTTGGCACACATATACCTCGGGACAGGGAGCGTGTCATAGGCTACTTTTCATTATCGATCGATATCGATTTTATCGATTTTTTGCAAATTTTGAGCTACAGGGCTGGGAATTGGCACAGGGGGGTAATCGAGCATGCTGATTACAAATATATTATTGACAGGCCCGGGGTTCTCGCAGGTCGGCCTTGATTCTGTCCATCCACCTCATCTTGGGTCTACTTCTGGGCCTTTTGCCTGGTACCTCCACAGCCAGGGCCAACTTGGTGATGTGGCTTTCATCCCTTCTGCGCACATGCCCATACCATCGTAACCTCTTTTCCTGCATTTTCTGGGCAATTAGAGCTACTTTCTTCGCGCTCGTATAGTGTCATTGCAGATGTGATCCTTCAGTGTGACTCCTAAGGTCCATCGTAGCATCCTTGTTTCCATGAAACTGAGCCGCTCCTCGTTCCGCGTACACGGCCAGCACTCACTGCCATACAGTGCTGCTGAACTGATAACGGTTTGGTAGAGTGGGACTTGCACTGGCATTCTTTCTCGCACAGAATTCCTGTCAAGGCTCTCCATTTCATCCACGTTGTGTTCATCCTGCTTGCGAACTCCTCTTGTAAGCCTCCCTCCTCCGGAGATGTGACTGCCTAGGTACTTGTATGACATTGTCTTCTTTAGCTTCTCACCCTCGATGCTTATGATACCAGGAGTTTATTTCCCCATTTCCATATACTCTGTCTTCCTGGTGTTGAGCTTCAGTTCTTCCAGTTGTGTACCTCGTCTTGTAACTCCTTTCTGGTGCTTGCTATCAAGACACATCGTCTGCATAGAGAAGTGTCCAAGGAGGTTCGTCTGAGCGGTTCCATAACGGCGTTCCGTTCATCACAGTGATGAATAGCAGGGAGAGAAAATTGAACCTTGGTATATTCCAACCTTGATTTGGAATTCTTTCGATTGCCCTGCAGTTGTTTGCACGTGGCTTGAAGCGTTGTGGTAGATCAACTTTATCATTGAACGTACTCCTCTGGCACCTTATGTTTCCGTGAGGCCCACCATATGACTCATGGGGCACCTTGGTCCAGGAAAGCTGCATGCAATTCCTTCTGTTTCTCTCTATATTTATCCATCACTATCCGAGCGGAGTGGATTGCGTCGGTTGTACCTGCTCCTTTCACGAATCCGCACTAATTCGGTAACAATTCTACGATATTTCGAAGACGCGTCCCTATTATTAGCTCGATTTTTGAAGTGTGGCTCGTCAGTCGGATTGGTCTTTAGGATACGCAGTATGCTAAGTCTCCTTTGTTCTTCCATATCGGGATCGTCGTGCTGGTGTACCAGTCGCGATGCATACTCTTACTCCTTTGATTTGACTGAGGAGACTCGTTAGGCCTAAGGCATACCTCACGCGATTTGGCCGAATCGCCACTTCCACGCAATTTGGCGATTTGCCAGATTTCTACAAATTTGTCGTACGCGCTTCTCGGATGCATATTTGGGTAGCTTGTGTAAGTTGTTGCAAATGGAGCAAGTTCTGGTTAAAGACAGCGCATTAACAACAATTACGAAGAGTCGCTGCTGTGCCAAATCGCGCAGCGACCGGAATCGCGCGAGGTATGCCTTAGGTCTTAGCCATATGGCTCCGGATCGTACACATATTTTCCAGAACTCGCTTAGTATGTCGTCTGGGCCAGTCGTTTTGCCACTGTTTGTTCTTCTTATGGCTAGCCACTTCCTCTTCCGTGACTGCCGGTACTGCTCCTTCTATGGGGCTGGCTTTTGATATGAAGTTGATGGTACGGTCTGGGTGGCCAATTCTTTGAAATAGGTTCTCCATCTCTCGGTGATGTCCTCCGATTTTGTTAGCATTCTACCAAGTTTCTTTTATATGGAGGAAGTGTTACATATCCTTTATGGATTCCGCTCTTCTTCTCTCTATCCGGTATATCTCACGCTCCCCCTCGCGATGCTTTAGATGAACGTAGAGTCTTTCAAGTACACCTATTTTGCATTCTTTACGGAAGCCTTTGCAGCGCGCTTGGCTTGTTGGTGTGTCTAGCGATCGTCCTCCAAAATCGTCTTTAGCCATCGCTTGTACGCATCCCTTTCTCCTTTATGGTTTTGCACTTCGTCGTTCCGTCACCACATTGCTCGATTTATCCTTCTTTTTCCTGGTTTTGTACTACCTAGGGCCGCATGCACTAACCTCCCCGCGGGGAGGAGATCGCAGCTTAAAAGAAAGCTTTATATTTCGAAACTCCAGATACTTGGATTTCACGTTGTGTACCTATCCGTAAGTATTCCTACTACCCCTCATTATGAACATGTTGAACAGGAGCGAGAAGCTGTACAAACCGCATTTTCCAGCTTTTGTATGATCCCTGATGATCCCCGGCGCTCTTCTTCAAAGTCATTTTTCTTTCTCCGAAGTCAACGAAAGCCTTCCAAAGTTGACTGAACATCTAACACAACAGTGCTAAGCATGTTGCTGATGAGAACAAATGAGTTTTTGAAAAGTCGAATTTTTCGGTAAACCTCAAATTTCGACCTGTGGATCATCGAAAATTTCATGATCCAAAACATCA